AGTAGAAATTAGTCCAGAAATTAATGATGTTTCTTAATGATCATTAGCTCCAGAGTACTTAGGGCTGGGATTGTAAAAGGAGTCGAAGGCAGTTAGATGCTAAGTTTAATGTGATTTGGGGATTTGGGGGAGCTCCACTGCCTGTCTCTCTTGGGTGTCTCAGAAAGCCCAACTGCACTCTGTACAGTCTCTCTGTCTGATATCAGTAGATCCTCCTCTTTGTGTGATACATCCTGTCTCAGTCTGACCCTGGCTCAGACCTGCAACTAGTGCCTTTGTCTCACGTTTATCAGAGAAATTAAGCTCTGCCCATCAGATAATTTATATATCGCAGCTGCTTTTCCATCAAAGTTACCCAGGACATGCCTGAGCTATTTCATGTCTCTTGCTGTGCTTCAGAGAGCACAGGCAACGACCCAACGTCATTGTCCCAGCTGCAGGTATTATCCTCACACCACACCCTCCGCTTGAACCCAGACATCCCGTTGGCAGTGGAAGAGAAAACATCACGACCAGCACCGACCAACTGGGAAGCTGCCCCTACATGGCATGGAAAGAGCTGCAGGAAGGGATGAGTATGGAAAAGGCTGTATGGCCTTTCCTCAGCTCTGCTCTGCAGCTTGTCATAAATGAGATAATGCAAGACGGTGCCAAAAGGCAACACGATACCAGATAGGGTGTGTTGTGTGGCATTACAGAAAGGGCATGTCGTAAACATTACGGGGAGGAATTAGCTGATCTCCTCATGTGAAGATTGCTAATCTGTGGGCTGCTTGTTTACAGAGATTCTGTTGGACATTTTTCAGACTCCCTCCACTCCACCTCCTCTGTTTATAGGTTCTTTTTGTCCTTTTCTGCATTTTTCCAACCAGTACGCACGGTACTACTAACTCACATCAAAACCTTTCCATTCCCTACAGTAGACCTGTTGGGATGGTGTCAGGCACTATGTGAGCTGCCCCTACCAGCCAGAAAATTCACCTCACATTCCCTCAAATAACCTTAAAGAGCTCTTTTCACCCCTGCTGCGTTCATATATCCCTAAACATACCCTCTGCCTCATAAGGTCTGGGATTATAATTCCTGACCTGGATGTTAGTTGAGCAAGGTGTTACTGGCACGATCATCCGAGTAGAGATAAAAGTAGCAGGTACCATCTGGTTCATGCAAGATGAGATGCCTTGCTGGTTTGCGAATTAGCTATCCTGTGTTGTTTTCCCATTTGTCTCATCATCTCTTGAATGATGGAGGCTCCTACCTCTGGCTCCCTTCTGACACATTTCAGATCTCCGTTTTGTTGTTTAGGTAGTTGATGTTTCCAGTTTAGCTATTACTGAACCAGGTCCCCAAGGACCTCATCATCGAGACAGTTAGAGAAGCTTTTGTTTAACACTCTGTATGGAGCTCATGCCTGGGAGAGGTTGGATTCAAGAACAGAACTTTCTCTATGCCACTGAGAATAAGAGTATATAATGCCAGACATTATATATAGAGTATATAATGCCAGACACTGGAGAGGAGAAGAGGAATGTAAGAGAACAGGACACTGTGCAAGATACGAAATAGAATGTACAGATATAGAAAAAAGAGGAAATCAGTTTTCTTTCTGCAGGGAATTAATGATGCACTCAACAGTTAAATTCTGTTGAGCTATGCACGTTGTAATAGAGATGTAATACTCCACCAGGAAAAGATCTTTGTGTTTACTATGGACCACCATATTTGGCTACACCGAATACATCAAAGTGATCTAGGCAGGCCCACAAGATGGGAAAGAAAAAGTAATTTTCTTCTAAATATTTGATGTTTTTTACATTTCTACAGAAGAAAAATGCTTTGTGTTTTAAATTATCACTTTTTTGTTTTTTTTTTTTACAAAATGGTATTTCTTTTGTCCAGAAGCCACAACCTAGAATGTTATTAATTTCAGGAGTTTGTTTAAAATTTGATTATTATTTTTGCAGGATATGTC